GGGCTGTGGGGAAATGGGATTGGAAAATGGGAATGGGATCCATGAACAGATCACCTCCAGCACAGGCTGTGGGGAAATGGGATTGGAAAATGGGGACAGGTATGGGATTGGCAATGGGATTAGGAATTTGATCCAGCCAGGGGATCCCATGGAATCCCCTCCTGATGTAGCACATGCATGAGCAGATCACCTCCAGCACGGGCTGTGGGAAATGGGATTGGAAAATGGGATTGGGACTGGGATCTGTGAACAGACCACCTCCAGCATGGGCTGTGGGGAAATGGGATTGGGATCCCATGGAAACCCTGCTGAGCTTCCTGAGAGACAGAAATGACACGAGGATCAGGAGTGGGATCCACGAGCAAATCACCTCCAGCACAGGCTGCAGGGAAATGGGATCTGGAATGGGATCCAGCCAGGAGATCCCAGGGAAACCCCTCCTGAGCTTCCCAAAGGATACGGATGGAAAGTGGGATCAGGAGTGTGACCAGGAGAGGGATCAGGAGTGGGATCATGACTGGGATCAGGAGCAGGATAAGGAGCAAGATCAGAAGCAGGAGCAGGATTAGGAATGGGAGATGGGATCAGGAGCAGGATCAGAAATGGGATCAGGAGTGGGAGCAGGAACAGGGTAAAGAGTGGGATTGAGACTGGGACCAGGAGTGGGATCAGGATCAGAAATGGGATCAGGAGCAGGATCAGGAACAGGATCAGAAACGGGATCAGAAATGGGATCAGGAGCAGGATAAGGAATGGGATCAGGAGTGGGATCAGGATCAGAAATGGGATCAGGAGCAGAATCAGGAACAGGATCAGAAATGGGATCAGGAGCAGGATAAGGAATGGGACCAGGAGTGGGATCAGGATCAGAAATGGGATCAGGAGTGGGATCAGGATTTTCCTCGCTGAGATCCATCCAGAACACCCCATGGAAATCCTTCCTGACCTTCCCAAGGCATGGACACCTCCCATCCCGTGGATCCCATGGATCCCATCCCATCCCATGGATCCCAGAGCCGTGCCCACCCCAGTCCCAGGACTCTGACCCCGTTCTCTCCCCCGATCAGGTGCACTTCATCCACGATGAACAGGTTGACGTTCTGGACGTTCTTGCGCTGTTTCCAGCGCCGGGACAGGATGTCCCACTTCTCTGGGGTGCTGATGATGATGTTCCCCTTTCCCAGCAGCTTCAGGTCCGTGCTGGTCTCCCCTGTGAGCAGCACCACCTTCTTGTTGAGGCGCTCCTGGAACTTCTCGTACCAATCCATGAAAACCTGCCAGGAAAATGGGGATTGGGG